TTCCGCGCCTGCGCCCGCGCCGGCTCTGGCCTGGGTCCCGCAGAGAGAGCCGCCTGGCGGGCTCGGCTGGGGGAAGGCAGCCGTAGCCTGGGCCTCGGGTGAGGGCACTGTAACCGGTGGGAAGGCTGCGTTTTCACGAAGGACTCGGGTGAAGCTGCAGAGCTGCCTTTCAGCCCTGACTCCTTGGCTTCCTGGGTCGGAGGAGATCTTGTAATGGAGTGGTTCTTCGTCTCACACTAGCAAGATGCCTGATTTCCTCAGGATCGAGGGGTGAGTGAGCATCGGGACGGTGGCACCAAGCCCCTCGTAGCTACACATGTGAATATCTTTGTCTTCTGGGTTTTGGAAAGTTCCAAACGATGTAGGAAACAAAATTTCCTAAATAGAGATGTTTAGGTCATTAATTTTTTTTCGAACGCAGTTTTTATTACTGTTGACAAATGTGGTAACCCGCAAATCCATGTTTACATAGCTGCAAGCTAATTTTGGGGAGTTTGAGATTTGATTTCTAACCTGGACACTGACATACCTCCTTTGCCTGAGTCTGTTCGGCCTGCAGGCGAGTTACGGCTTTAAGAATCTTGATTTTCAAAATAGGAGTGGGAATATAGTCCAAACTCTGGGTTCCCCACAGATTCTAACAACAGCCAACTGAAAATGGGGACTCGGATTGCATCTGTACTTATGTACAGACCTTTGCCCCCATTGCCATTGTTTCTAATGTGCATATAGTAACATTCACAGGAGATTTGCACAGTTTTAGGTGTTACAAGGAATCTGGATACCCCACCCACCCTAAGTGTGGAAGTGCATGCCTGTTGTCTCCGAACTTGGGAGGTGGAGGATCAGGAGGACCAAGGCTAGCTGAGGCTAGTTAAGACCCTGTGTCAGTAAAAAGTCACAAGTTAAAACACACGGGAGTGTAGTTTATATGCAAACACTATACTATTCTAAATGAGAGCCAAGCACCCTAGGTGTATTTTGTATGTGTGCATGTATATGTCACTGGGGGACTGCATCTTGTGCTAGGCAAATGCTCTACCATTGAACTATATCCCCAGCCCACACTTGGACTTTGTTACCTTCAGGGACCCTGAACCCAATCCCCTATGGATATTGGGAGACTCCGTGACTCTGAAAATAAAGAGAATTGTGAGGACTAAATAAGATTGTGCTCATAAAAAGCGGTTCTGAGCAGCCTTCTGCAGTCTTAAAGACTTTTCATTATCCTCTGTCATCCTTACTAGATTCACTGTAGTCGTGCTGCATCTTAACGGGGAAAGGAAAATTCTCCCTTAGCTTCTGTGTCTTCTAAGTTCAGAGATTTTTTTTTTTCCTTTTCCTTTTGTCTCTTTATAATTAAAAAAATTTTTATTGCATATTATTCATTTCAGATTGAAGAATGTCACGGGTTCCACTGGGGAAAGTCCTCCTGAGGAATGTCATCCGGCATACGGATGCTCACAATAAGGTAAGCAATACAATTGAGTTACTTGTCAACATTTCTTGAAGGCCTACGGTAAACTATGGATTACGTTGGGAGATAGCAAAGATATATAAGAAACAATCATAGTTTGAAAAATACTATACCATGAAGATAGTTACAAATACTTTAGCGCACCAAGGAAGGAAAGAAATCTGCCTTGGCAAATGAGAAGGATTTCACAGAATGAGTGGTATTTGAGTTGCTGATATTTGAACTGGTTCTTGATGAATAAAGTTTCCTGGATGCATTGTTTTTGATTGAGAGACTATGCACTAATGCAGGGCAAAATATTGGCCTGGTGATGCATTGTAGTGGTAGTAGCTCATATATGCAAAGTCCTTCATTCTATTCCCACTCCTTAAGCATTGATCACTTGGGGCAAGAAATTATATGTATCTAGAAAATACAAGATACAGGGGTGGTGACAGAAGATAAGGCCCAAGTGGCAAATTAGAGTTGTTTTTATGAAACTTAAGAGATAAACTTCCTCTTGGGGGCAATAAGGAAGCCATCAGTGAGGAGTGGTACCTTACGTGTTTCATACCTGTAGGTGCTGTTTTACACCTTGAAGGGATGAAATGGTATGATTTGCCATATGTTCAAAGCCAAATATGTCTATCTAGACAGATGATTTTGTCAGTGTGGTAGGAAATGGAAGACGGAGAGAAGAACTTGGGAGCATGATTAGGTGACTGAGGTCTGGATGGAGGCATAGCAGGGATGGAGAGGAACGCAGGCCGATAGGACGGTGGTGGCAAGAGTGGAATCCAGGGTGCCATCTTCTGTGGCTGGGTAGGGTAGTAACTAAGGGACAAAAAGGAGAAAAGGACAAACATGGGAAATGCAATTAGTTTGGTTTTGAATGTATTTATGATAAGGAACTTGAAGTTGAAGACGAAGATTTGGAAGCAAGAAGAAAGATTGGAACTGGACTAAAAGTTTGGGAATTTAGACAGTCACCTAAGAGTGCACCTCAAATGAAAAGGACAAGACCTTGTTCAGTTTTCTTCAGCAAATTGCACTCCTGGCTTGTTCATTACTAACATGGTCACCGTCATATTACTTAAGGTGCTGGGTACTGGGGATTGAACCTAGGAGACAGGATCACCAAGTTTGTTTCTAGCTGATCTTGGTCTCACTCCATAGTCCAGGCAGACCTTGTTACTAACCCAGGGACTATGATTACAGACCTGTGCCTAGTTGTCACCTGAGTTTTTCACTGTGGATGTAGGTATAATATATGTTAATATATTATATTAATATATGTTACCTGTATAGTTGTGTTAATTCTACTTCTAGTTGTATTGTAACCTTATATTTTAGAGTGACACCTAAAAACAAGATAATTCTTGCATAGGTTTAATCCAGTTATGCAGGAGGACTTAGAAATAAAATTCAGACTGGAGAGATGGTTTAGTCTTTAAGAGCACTGTCTGCTCTTCCAGTTCCCAGCAACCACATGGTGGCTCACTACCATCTGTAATGAGATCTGGTGCCCTCTTCTGGCCTGCAAGGCATACATGCAGGCAGAACACTGTATACATAATAAATAATTTTATTTTGTTTTTTGAGACAGGATTTCTTTGTGTGACAGACCTGGCTGTCCTGGAACTCGGTTGGTAGACCAGGCCGGCCTCCAACTCCCTGAGATCCACCTGTCTCTGCTTTCCAAGTGCTGGGATTAAAGGCCTGCGCCACCACCTCATGGGTATAAATAAATCAAATCACTTACGTTTTTTCCAGTCATTTTTCTGATAACTATGTTATTTTGTTTCTGACAAAATTTTTTTTTTCAAATGGGTTTTCTGTGTAATAGCCCTAGCCATCCTGGAATTCGCTCTGTAGACCATGCTGGCCTCGAATTCACAGAGATCTGCCTGCCTCTGCTTTCTGAGTACTGGTATTAAAGGCATGTGCCACCTCTGCCTGGCCTGACAAGAATTTTAATGTGACCCAGGTATGATGTTACAGGCCTGTAATCCCAGCATTTAGGAGACAGGGGCAGGAAATTTGCTTAAGTACATGGCTTGCCTGTTCTATATGGTGAGAAGCAGAAAACAATCAAACGTAAAGGGACTGTTTTTGCAGAGGATCTGGGGTTTGATTCTCAGCTCCTATGTGGCAGCTCACAACCATCTGTAACCTAGTTCCAGAGAACCTGACACCCTCTTCTGGCCTCTGTGGGCATTGCATCCATATACTACACAGTCAAAACTTTCATTTACATAAAGTTAAATAATACAGATGTTAAAAAGCAAAACAAGATGGGGTGGGAAGATGGCACAGGTTAAAGTATTTGCTATGTAAGCCTGATCACCCATATCTGACCTCTGGAACCTATGTAGAAAGCCAGATGCAGTAATGAAAGTATATAATTCCAGTGTTCCTACAGCGGATGGGGGTGGGGATGGAGGAGTGGGCCAGAAGCTTAGGGCCAGCTATTCTGGAGTAAATAGTGTAGCAGCAGAAAACAAGAGAGCCCCCAACTCAATAAATGGAAGTCAGGAATCGACGTCAGAAAGTTATCTCTGACCCCTGTATGTGTGCCCTTTCTCTCTCTCTCTTGCTCTCCAACTCTCATATACACACAAAATTAGTAAACAAAAATTTATGTCTATCCATCCATCCTGTTTTTTTTTTTTTGTTGTTTAATGTAAAAAGAGACCTTGCCTAGGGAATTTACAGACCAGTACCTGCTGGGCCTTGCACACAGGCCTATAATCTCAGCCACTGAGGGAGGCCATGGCTCGGCTGGAGAACCACAAGTTGAAGGCCTGCCTAAGATTTTGTCTCAAAACAACAATACAAAATAATCCACCACCAAGAACAGTAAAAAACAAAAACAAAGAGGCAGGGGTTGGGTACCAGGCCAGTGGTAGAGTGTGTACTGCACTGAGAAAAAAACAAAATTAAGAGAACCTGTTTTTAGCTAGGCAGTAGTGACATACACCTTTAATCTCAGCACTCCAGAGGCAGGGGCAGGTGGGTTTCTGAGCTCAAGGCCAACCTGGTCTATAGAGTGAGTTCCAGGACAGCCAGGGCTCTACCAAGAAACCCTGTCTTAAGAAGGGGGGGATCTAATTGTTTTTAAAAAGATGTTGATAAGGTCCCTGAGCTTTTGTTGCTGCTTTTTGAAATATTCTGATGGTGCCTGCTTTACTTTCCTACAAGATACTTACTGTTGAGCTAAAATGTGATCATGTTGTATCTCAGAAACACATAGGGCTATTTTCTGATTGCAGGATTGTAAATTGATGAGTGATTAGTGTGTCTATGCAGGGGTTCAAAACCTGTTGCTGCATAATTTTAGATTTACTGTATTGGATTGTTTAGTTACTTTTAAACTCCTTAGAGAAACCAAAATTTAGTTTTTAGATCACAGCCCAGTCTGTACCCCATAGTTAGAGCAGATTGTACCTTCGGCTAGTTCTTTTTCTGTAATGCAAAGTGCTATTTTTAGTGACTTATTTTTGTTTCCTTTTTGAAAATGTCTAGATTCAGGAGGAATCTGACATGTGGAAAATCAGAGAACTAGAGAAGCAAATGGAGGATGCTTACCAGGGGACCAGAAGGAACATGGTACCCAGTAGCTCAAGGTAAAGTGTGCCTCTGATAACCAAAAATAACTCATTTTTTTCAGAATTACTAATTTTAGCTTTAAAACATTCTAGTATGATAAGGATAGATGAATTCAGTTCAGCAAATCAAACCTTCCTTGTTTCTTAAGCTTAGGTCCAAGCATAATAATGGCTGTGATAACACGCCAGCCTATATTGGACTATTTTTTCTTTGAGTTTTCTTTTTCTTTTTCCCCTAGACAGGGTTTCTCTGAGTATAGCCCTGGCTGTCCTGGAACTCTGTCTGCAGACCAGTCTGTAGACCAGTCTAGCCTTGAACTCAGAGACCCTAGCCTTTCAGGTGCTAGGATTAAAGGCATGAGCACCACTGCCCAATTCTCTTTTGACTTTTCAATACAGAGTTTCTCTGAATAGCCCTAGCTGTCATAGACCAGGCTGGCCTCAAACTCAGATCTGCCTGCTTCTGCTTCCGTAGTGATAGAATTGAAGGCATATGCCACCGCCACCACCTCACTTTCTACACTAATTTTCAATGGTGAATTAAAAAATTCTCCTTGGACTACTGTAAATGTTTAGGTTTTATGGATTCCAACCTTGTCTAATAGCTTTTAAGATTTTCTACTGGAGTGTCTTTTTTTCCTTTCTCTTCTTTTATCTTATAAAAATTATACTATTTGCTGGGCATGGTACCTCATGCCTTTAATTTTAGCTCAGGAGGTAGAGGCAGATAGATCTCTGTGAGTGAGGGCAGCCTGGTCTATATCCAGGCCAGCCAAGACTACAGAGAGAGACCTTGTCTCAAGAAACAAAAACAAAACCAATTTGTTTTATTTATTGTGTTGACAACTTTGTGTATGTGTGAGTATATATGGGTGTGCCAGAGTGCACACATGGAAGTCAGAGCACAACTTTCAGGAATCTGTTTTTACTACTGTGGGTTCTAAGAACTCAGGTCATCAGGCAAATACTTAGCTGCTTAGTCCTCCAGCTATACCTGGAGTCTTTCATACTCAATTCATTCATACTATCTCTCCTTTAGTCTTTCTATTAGACCTTTGTAAAAAGTATTTTATTCATTGGTTCTCTGTCTGTTGGTGACTGCAGGGGCCAGAAGTGAGCATTAGATCCCCTGAAGTTGAGTTATGGGCATTTGTGAGCTCCTGGTATGGGTGCTGGGATTTGAACTAGCATCCTCTATAAGAGCAACAAGTACCCTTAACCACTGAGCTAGCTCTCCAGCCTTAGGTTTCTTTTTAAAGGCCACATTACTCACTGTTTTTGTTTATTGAGTGTGGCCGGGTGTGGTGGCACACCTTTAATTCTAGCACTAGAGAGGCAGAGGCAGGAGGATCTCTGGGTTTGAGGCCAGCCTGCTCTACAAAGCAAGTCCCAGGGTAGCTAGGACTGTTACATAGAAAAACTCTGTCTTGAAAAAAAAATTGAATGTGAATATAAAGGATTATGTAAGCTTGACTGTGTTCTATGGGAGGTGTAGGGATGTATGAATAATTAAGAATATCTCTAGGGCTTCATATGCCCTTAAGTATAGGAAGTAGGTATTTGTGAGATAGGTCATAATCCTGATTTCTAAAGCTACCTTGAGAAATCATTAGAAGGAAAGGAATTCCAAGTCAGTGTGTCTGTGGAGTATGTGGGCTTTGGTGATTAGTGGCCGAGTATGACTGGTATCAGTGTTAGGTGGTGCAAAGTATTTTCCATGACTTTTGTTTATAATATGAAGTGGCATCACAGATTGCTTTTAAACATAAATGTTTGTTTTTTTTCATTTACAGTCGGATGAGAAGTGATGGTTTTGATGAAGAAAGTCAGAGAGACTACTGGAGGCCAAAAAATGAAATTTCTGGGGCCCTGGAAGATGATTTTCTTAAGGCTAAATCCTGGAACAAGAAGTTATATGAGTATGAATCCAACATGCCAGACAGGTTCGTTGACTACATTCTTATGACCCACCCCTAATGACATTTGGCCCGAATATGTCTGTCTGAAAATTGTCCTACGGTTTGAGAGATGGCTCATTGGTTAAAGCACTTGCTGCTCTTGCAGGGGACCCATGTTTGGTTCCCAACACTTACAAGACAACTTATAACTGTCCATAACTCGTTTCAGGGGATCTGACACCCTCTTCTGAGCTCTGTGAGCATCAGGCGTGCATGCGATACACATATATACAGGCAGGCAAGACAGTCATACACATTAAAATAAATAGAAATAATTCTTAAACAGATTGTCCCCATAAAAGCTTGTAGGTGAGTATAACAGCAGTATTACAAATGGCTAAGAAGTGACATCCACGTGGCGGTTTCTGATGAATCTATAAACAGAATATAGGCTTTCCATATAGTGGAATAGTTCTTGGTGGTAAAAGGAATAAGTACTAATTACATATGCATAACCTTGAAAACTTTACAAATGGTGAAAGAAGTCAGATACAGTGGCCACATGCTCTATGACTCTGTTCTGTGGTGTGTCCAGAATGGTTGCCTTGGGCTACAGGCTCTGCTCTTTTCTTGGCATGTGAATCACATTAAGTATCTTTAAAATGTCCCAGTGTAGATAACATGTTACAAAGTAGTTTTGGAAAAGGACTTCATTCCTAAAGAGTTCTTAGTGTCTCCTAAAGAACAAATGTAACCTTTTAAGTGAACAGTACATCCTGTGTCTGAGGTGATAGTATAAAAGTATAGAAAGTTAGGGCTGTTGCCAAGGTATTGTGTGTTTTTGCTTTGCCCCATTTTCCTTGGTTCTCTGTGTGTATGTGTATTCATGCAGTCCAAAATCTAATTTTAATTTCCAAAAGTAATATGCATTGCCTCATAAAAATGTATTATGTCACTTTACAGATGGGGTCACAGTGGTTATAAAGAGTTGTATCCTGAAGAGTTTGAAACAGACAGGTTGGTAAATACGCTTTCTAGAAAAACAAAACCAAATACCTAAGATGAATGCAAAGTTGTGCCATAAACAAGAGTTCCTAACATTTACAAAAGATTTATTTGCCATTGAAAATATAACTAGAACCTGGAATATATGGCTGTAGTCCCAGCTGCTCAGGAGCCTGAGGCAAGAGAGCTGCTTGAGTCTAGGAGTTTGAGGCCAGCCTGGGACATAATGAAATCTTGTCCCCAAAACAAAGAAAACAAGCGGAATTTAGTTGGCAGTCCTTATGTACCTTTCCCGAATGAAGTTTGTTATTCTGTAAGTGTAAGGGCTTTAGATAGTTTTTTATCATGTCTACCTGTCTTCCATATTCTATTTTTTCTTATATATTCAATACCTATTAAAATCTTTTCATTTTAAGGACATATCCTAATTGTCAGTATCATGCTTGTGTTTTGGGGTCATTGTTAAAGTAAGCTATACCAGACAGTGGATCTGATAACCCAGGTAACTAGACACAGGGATGATCCAGGTCCTAAGTGGGACACAGTGGAACAGTGAGGAATTTCATTTTTTATTTCATTCAGAATGATATGCAATTAAAAACTTAGAGATTGTTTCTGGAATTGACCATAGGTGACAGGAATCAGAGGAAATGAAACTATGGATAAGGGAGCACTAGTGTTTATTACTGCATATGTTACTCAGTATAGCAGATCAGGAGTTTGGTTTGTTGACAGGATTTTCTGTAGCTCAAGATGGCCTTGAACTTGATGCATAGCCAAGAATAACCTTGAACTCCTGGCCCTCCTGCCCCACCTTCTAAATATTGGAATTAGAGGTATATACAAGTATGGTTAGCTTAAATTAGGATTTTAAAGATGTGGAAATAAAGCATTTGTGAGAATAAAGTAGAAACCTCACAGTAACACTCAAGAGTTCTCATACTTACTTTTTTGAGACAGTCTCTTTTTGTAGTCCTGCAGACCTAGAACTTGCTATGTAGAGCAGGCTGTCCTCACACTTGGGAGACCACCTTGCTTCTGCTTTTTGAGTGCTGTGATTATAGCTATGCACCACCCACCATACCCAGCTCAAAGTTCTGATTTAAAGTTTAGATGTTACTATAGTGCAGAATATTAAATATAAATGTATATTTTCTTCCTTTCATAAAAGTTTTATTTTTACTTTTCTTTAGTAGTGATCAGCAGGACATTACCAATGGGAAAAAAACATCTCCCCAGGTAAAAGCATCTGCCCATGAATCCCGCAAACATAAGAAGTCAAAGAAATCCCATAAAAAGAAGCAGAAAAAGCGGTCCCACAAAAAACAGAAGAAAAACAAAAAGGAAGCTATGGACATAGCAGCAGATTCCTCAAGTGAGTTCTCAGAAGAAACTGGAGCTTCTAGTACCAGAAAAAGGAAGCAACCACACAAGAGCAAGAAAAAATCCAGGAAAAAGTCTCCTAAAAAATCTTTACCTTTAGGGGGAGAAAGGGCTACTTCCCAGTCAGATGATTCAGCAGCTAGCAGTTCTGAGGAAATTGAGGAAAGAGACACTAAGAAAACCAAAAGGAAAAAGAAAGAGAAAAGTGTTCATGTTCCTGTGGTTAGCCCTGAAGTACAGGAGAGGACGAGCAAGCGCAGGAATTGGAAAGTGGCTACGGATGCAAGGTCTGCTGAAAGCTCAGAAGATGACTAAGTGGGAAAGCAGCCGTCCTGCTTCCCACGGACTCTGGTTGTCTGCAGCTCTTAATAGTGGGGTTTGCTAGTGGCTCCTTCAGCACAGGAGTCGGAGGTCAGAGTTGTCCTACCACAGATACCTTTTTTCCTATTTCAGATTGTTAATCTCCATCCCCTTTTGTTGTTAATAGGGAATCTGGTATTTTGTTAAGGTTTCTTGAAGAGATTATTTTTTGCAATTAATCACTTAGGGTAGAATATCTATACAGCAAATTAAAGAACCCAGAAAGCTGAAATCAGTAATGATCTGGGTACACCAATTGGAATGCTGGATTTGGGGGAATCAAGGGTCTGGGATGAAGAAAGGATTGTAAGTAGTGCTAGATGGAATAGTTTGACAAGGAAAACTTGCTATTTATACAGGAGGTATCCTGACTTCAGCTTTGGTGCTTTGATTCTTCTATAGTTGGGCCCTACAGGTATCTAATTTACTTAGCGAGGAAATGGGTGTAAGAACAAACCTTTTCCCTTCATGGTAGGATCCACAGATGACGGCTAAGTAATGTAGGGTTTTCTGCCTAATTTCCCTGCTGGTCAGGGTCTACAGTGACATTTAGTATAACCCAAATATAATAGTAACTGGATAGTAATTGGTTTTCTAGTTCCATTGCTTTATATTGCCTGAAATGGGCTTGTGTTTGAAATTATTTGTTCAGTTGTCCTGTCTATCAAATGGTAAGAATTAGGAAGTAGTCACATTGCCAATGATGCTTTCAAAGAGATTCAGGGCAACAGCCATCTAAATGTTTTTTGTTTTTTGTTTTTTTTTTTTTGCCAAGTTGGGGATTGAACTGAAGGCCTTGCATACACTAGGCAAGTGCTCTACCACTGAGCCATACCCCCAGCCCTGTTGTTTTCCTTGTTTTTTTGTTTTGTTCTTGAGACAGGGTTTCTCTGTAGCTTTGGAGCCTGTCCTGGAACTAGCTCTTATAGACCAGGCTGGCCTCAAACTCACAGAGATCCGCTTGCCTCTGCCTCTCAAGTGGTTGGGATTAAAGGCATGCCCCACCACCGCCCAGCTTGCTTGTTCATTTCTAATTCTATTAATGAATTTTAGTTTCCCTGAAACCAGATGAATCAGTTCCAAAATGAAACACACTCTCAGGGACATACCAGTCTGACTTTGTGTTATGATTATCAAGAACATATTATTTCCCCCTGCTATACTGTGATCCTGATAGTAAAAGAAACCAAAATACCACTGAAAAGTGGCTGGTAGTTGACTTTTCATAAGAGGAAAGATAAGTGACATTGTCAGGGCTTTTGTGTTTGAGGTTGTCACTTTTGGTACTGAGTAGAAAGCACAAAAGCTCAGACCTAACACTGGGTCATGGTTCTGCCACTGATTGATGAGCTCTAGAGCAGGTTAAGTTAACCTCCAGGCCTTACTTTTGCAGGTGTAATACAGAAATACTTCATGGTTAGCATGAGACACCAGCAATAGAACACTACTATGCTGACATCCCACGAAGTAGCATTTTATAGTTTAACTAAATTTGTGCTCTTTATGGAACATACTTCTAATAAACTGCTTGTTTTTAAAGTACACAGTTGGCCAGATGTGCCCTAGCCCTTGATTGAGAGCAGGTGCTACCTTTTGGGATCTTGAGACTTTGGTACTCAAATGCTTATGTTCCATGATATGCTTTTTTTTCCTTGGGTTTAACAGAGGTTAATGGGAGGAGAGTCTAGTTACTACCTCATAACCTTGAAGCAAGTGAAATCTTTGTTGGAAGTAGTTTTGTGCGACGGGAGTACTGATTCTAAGCATGGTCTCAGGAAGATGGTCCTGCAGAATAAGGCACTTGAAAGAAGCTGGTTTTGTTTGGGTCTTGACCTTTACCGTCCTCCCATACTAACAGGCTTTTCTCTTCCCCAAGGAATGCACATTTTGCCTGATTATTTTTTTACACTTCCCCAACCATGTTCATCTTTTCTCAGTCACATAAGCAATAAAATTGTTTTCTGTTCTAATCCTTACCCCTAAATTCCCTTCCATGCCTTAGGCGTTGATCTCTAATCCCCTTAACGATGGCTTAGGGTGGCTTTTCAAAACCCATGATCTCCCATTTGCACTACCAGCCACGGAACACTTTTTAGTGTTTTGTCAATCAGAGATCTCTATGCTGCATCCTAAACCGGGACTTAGAAGAAAAAGAATTGGAGACTTCACATTTATTAACTGGTGTTATACAACCTGGAATTACTGAATTCCAATAAATAAAATTTCACTTTTGGACATCTGATCTGTTACTTTTTAGCACCAACAGACTTAGTAACTGCCTGATGCTAACCTGACACGTTGACCATTCTTTCTCCACTGGCCATTCAATCTGCTCAGTATCAAGTTTTGGGTCTTCCACCGTTCTGAGGTTTGGTCTACTGTCCTCCTTTCTGTACAATCTGGGCAAACCGACCGGTGATAGCAAGAGTAGTGTCAATGAAGCGGTCCACACAGCTAGAGAGGCAGTTTTCAGTGCGGGAGTCTAGCCGATTTCCTGGCTTCTCAACACACTTATCCCAACATAGTTCCATGAAGTGATGCACCTAAGAGGAGAGAAGAAACCTTAATCATTGGGGTCTGCAGATAACCTTATTTCTTCTTACTCTATGACTTGATAAAAACCACTTTTAATAGCATACCGTAACAGGATCACTTCGGGGTCCATCTTTCTCGTCACTAGTAATTCCTCTCCTTATACACAGTAAATTCTCATTAGAACCCATACTTTCACAATTCTTTTTTTTCAAGCCAGGGTTTCTCTCTGTAGCCCTGGCTGTCCTGGAACTCAGCTTTCCGAGTGCTGGTATTAAAGGCGCGTGCCACCACCTCCTACCCACAGTTCTCAAAACAACTAGCATTATTAATAAAATGTGAAGAAGTTGGGATACTAGTTTCTCCAAACCGAGCATAGTTTGGTATCTATGGACACGTGGTAATATTACTTGGGAAACTAAGTACTAAGTAAGCAGTTAGTTCTTGAAAGGATAGCTATCAGTATTTCCAAGGTCAGCAACGGTTAACACCCTGGCTTAAAAAACGCCTTAAAACTCCAAACTCTGTCCCAACCGAGTCTACACTGATTGTTGCAGCGCTCACCTTTATCTAATAATGGTCATCACTTCCAAATAGGTCACAAGATCCAATGCTGAGAGGCAGCGGGCAACAACGAACCCAGAACTCAGGGTGGGGACGGGTGTCTTCCAAATCGGCCCTTTGAACCCCAAGGTCAGAACAGAGATTCCGAATGTCATTCCGGACCAGTGGCCGGGTAATCTGACCTCCTCTGTCGCCCAACCCTTTCCCGTGCTTTACATTTCTTTCCTCCCAAGCAGCGCTAGCCTCCCGGACACTGAGCACCGTAAGTCACCAGGAAGGGAGGAGCAGCCGGGACCCAGCAACGAGCGGGCCCGCTGTGCCGCAGGGCCCAGAGCTCCGTGGGTGCCCGGGGCCTGAGTCTCACCCTCCTTTCCTTGTTCCTCATCCTCGTACCTGCGCAGTGAACTGCGCCTTCTGCTGCTCCGCTGCCACCAGGCGCTGTAACTCCGCTTCGTCTGCTTCACCAAGCTCGGCCATTGTCAGCGTGAGTTACTCCGCCAGCATGCGCACGCGCGGTAGCAGCGCACCGCCTCCTGTCTTCCGGTTCACCCTCCAGGTTGCTTTGCCCTTCTTTTTTGTGGGGCGGGTCTTGTTGCGTAACTGCTTCCGGGTTATCGAGTGCCCTTGAGTCCCCGGACGCGAGATGGCGGTTCTCTTAAAGCTGGGTGTCCTCTGCAGTGGCCAGGGAGGCCGAGGTGAGGTGTCTTGGCCATCAGAGGTTCCTGCTGAGGCCTAGACCGGGGAAGGGACGGGGTGATGGCTCGGCTGCCGGGTAGTGGGACGTCTTGAGAGGAAGGGACTTCCTCTTCGGCCCCGGAGACGTCTACACGGGCGCTGCCCGGACCGCTGTAGCCCTGAGGCCCCGGTGTTTACCTGGTGCCTGCTCCCAGCTGGTACTTCCAGCCTCCGGGCTGCGGTGACAACAGACTCCGGTTTGAGAGCGGGTGAAAGGAATAGTTTGATACTTGTTCGTTTTGAGATAGCGGCTTGCTAAGTAGTACTGACTTTCCTCGATCTAGCCTTGTAGACCAGGCTAATCTCGAGCTTGCCGGGAGCCCCTTGACTGGTTCCCGAGTGCTGGCTGTCGCCACTCAGGACTTCGATAATCATTTTAACCAGGCATTTTGGTTTTACAATGCGCTTAAGAGACTGGTATACAAACACGAATAAAACAAATTCTAGCCTCAAAGAACTTGTTGGAGGGGGTGGAGGTACAGATAATGTAAAGCAAAAACGGTTGTGCTGTATAGATATTTTTAGTATGGGTCCAGAGAAAGTTCGGGTAGTTGTTTTGGAAGGACTAACCTGTCTTCGTTCTTCAGGGAAGTACATTGTAGTTAGCAACTGAGAGCAGCAAAAGCTGTGTGCATGGTGAAGGGATAGAAAGATGCGTAGTGTGAGACAAAATGGAACAGATAAAATAATATTTCGAAAGCCGAAGTGTGAAATCAGCCTAGAAAAGCGAAATGGAACTAAGTCACAGAATTTACTTTATTCTTTTCCGAAGATAAGTCTTTCTTTGCTGCCCAGGTTGACAGTGACATTTAAAGGCTTGATCAGTTTGCTGACCAGGTTTATTTTACGGGCCAATTATTGTTTCTTAGACTGGCCTAAAACTTGTCCTGGCCCAGCCTCCTAAGTAGCTGGAGGTAGAGGCGGGTTCAAGGTCACAGGCAAGGGTGCCTGAGTGAGGCAAGTCTCTGAGTTAGAAGTCAGCCTGGTCTGCATAGAGTTTCAGGCCAGCCAACGCCTCAAAGTGAGACCCTGTTTCTAAAAACAAACCCCCCCCCAAGAGAGGGGGGGAGAGGAGAGAGAGAGAGAAAATAATGTGTGTGTGTGTGTGTGTGTGTGTGTGCAGTTATCATTATGGGAACTCATTAAACTTTGCATGTGTTGCCTAGTCTTTAGCAGTGTTAGGAAGTAGATGCACTTGTTAACTGTGAGAGCTAGTTTTTGCCCTACTTGATACAACCTAGAGTCACTTGGAATGGGAATTTATAACTGAAGAATTGCCTCCACCAGCTTGACCCTTGGCCACGTCTGTGAGGAACTGTCTTGATTGGTGGTTGATGGAGGGGGGCGCAGCCTGCTGCACAGCCCACTGTGGGCAACACTGTCCTAGGCGCTTGTGCTTGGGCTGAGTAAGTGAGCTAGCTGATTGTGAGTCGGGGAGCAAGCCAGTAAGCAGCACTCCTCCGTGACTACTGCTTCACTTCCTACTTGAGTTCTTGCTCTCATTTCCCTCAACGATGGACTGTGATCTGGAAGTGCCAGCTGAAATAAACCCTTTCTTCCTCTGAGTTAAGTCTGGTCATGGCATTTATCATAGTAACAGAAAGCAACCTAGAACATTCTCCTTTTGCAAATGAAACCAAGCCTTAGAGAGCTGTTTGGCTGCTCAGCATCACATAGCTAATTTGTGATGTCGCTGGGTGAACATCAGTCTGTCTTTTTAACCAAGAGGCAGGATCCAAAAGGGGCAATAAGGAGGGGTTCAGGAATACAAAAAGGAGAGGTCAATGGGTGAGCTCTCTAAACTAAGTTGAATATCTCGAGGGCAAAGGGTTTTGTCCTTCTCTTTCTTGTTCTGTTGCCAAGCACAGTTTTGATTGTAGTTAATGCTAGATAAGTCGATGAGTAATTGAAAGAACACGAGTCCACCAGTTTTTAAATAAATGAAAGTGAGGCCTTTTTATGTACGCAACTTATTAGGAGTCTACAGATTTTTGTTGTTTTTGAGACAGGGTCTCATGTAATCCCATGCTGACCTCTAACGCCATATGTAGGTGAGGAAGACCTTGAACTTCTGCTTCCACTTCTCACGTGCAGGGACTATGTGTGGTGTTGGAAGAAGCCTCGCACATGCTAGGCAAGCAACTGAGCTACATCCCCAGCACAGAGGGACTGCATGTTAAGAGCACTGACTCCTTTCCCAGAGAACCTGGGTTCTCTTCAGCACTCACATAGTGGCTCATAACTTCAGTTATGGGGAAGGATGCCTTGGGCACTAGGCATGTGCATGGTACACAGACATACATGTAGGTAAGATATTCCTACGTGTAAAAATAAATCCTTAAAAAACGTTTATTGGTTTGAGTAGAATGCTTATGTGGTTTAGAAAGTCTATCAGTCCTGCTCGGAAGCTTATGATTCCTGTCTTTTTTCCTCAGCTCTGTTGCTCCGAAACCGGGTGGTCAGACCTGCTTGTGTCTCAGCATTTCTCCAGGACCAGCGCACCCCAGGATGGCATGGCACACAGCACATTCACCTATCACCAAGCCACCATTGTGTGTTCTCTCTGCTTTATAAACAATTTTACTGTTTATTTGTTATTGAACAATTTCATTTATTATTTTAAATGTATGGGTATTTGCCTGCATGGCTGTCTGGGTACTTGCATGCCTGGTGCACAGAGTCTAGGAGAGGGAGTTGGATTCCTGGAACTGGAGCTCCAGACAGCTGTGCACTGTTACTGGTACTTCATCCATCTTTACCTAGGCTAATCGTCATACATTCGGCAGGTCTTGCTGCCTCTTGGAGTCTGTCCTGTCTGCTAGTTAAAGACCTAGTTTACACCTTTGGGGAGACAGTGCAAACATGAGGAATGCCATTTGTATTCGCAGAGAATCTAGTGACCTAACTGTTCAAAATTTGTTACATTGCTGTCAAGAAAACAACATCTCTGTAGGAAGTCTGTTCAGTGTATCTTAGTTACTGGTTTATTTAGCCAATAAAGAGGAGCCAGTTGTGCCTAAAGTCTTATCTTGAGTATGGAATCATGGATTTATAGCTGGAATTTTTTTTTAGGTTGATTAAAACCATATGGAATTTTCTAGGTAAATATTGTGTGGATATTCACATTAGACAATCTGAACAAATAATGAGTTAACTATATTTCCATTTTTAAAGTCTAGAGAGAGAAATATTTATTTTGTTCTGGCTGGTCTGAAAATTGCCTTGTAGTGCAGGTTATACCAAAACTTGCAGTGTTGTGGTGATACTTGATTTGTATTTTAATAAATAAAGCTTGCCTGAAGTTCAGAAAGTAAACAGCTGCATTTGTCAGCCTTACAGACCAAGAGTAGTGACACACACGATTAACCCCAGTAGCTATACTAGTTTGCCACAGAAACTAGGCAGCAGTGGTGCACGCCTTTAACTCCAGCACTTGAGAGGAATATAAGATGGGAAGAGACAGTTCTCATGCACAGTCTCATTCTGAGATTCCTGGAGGCAGGATTGCCATTTTGGACTGAGGTAGAGGTAAGAGCTAGTGGCTGGCTGTTTTGCTTTTCTGACCTTCTAGTTAAACCCCAATTTCTGTCTCTCTGGGTTTTTATCAGTCATGCTACACAGTGTTCTTCTGAAATCATGGGTTTTTGTTGTTGTTGTATTTGGTTTTTTGTTTGTTTTGCCTTTTGTTGTTTGTGAATATTTTTGAGATAAGTCAGGCTGTAGCTGGCCTATAACTCAGTATGTATTCCAAATTGGCACAGTTCTCCTGCCTCAGCCATGTCTGACTTCTGAGATAGTATTGTGCAGTGTCTTGATTGTTATTTTTTACCTTTCAGTCCTCCCCGATTCTTAAGTGAGCTACTTACAGTCGCATCTGAGTGATGAGAAATTAGAACTGTTGGTTTTTCTGCCTTTTAAAACCTTTTTGATTTTTGACTAATTTTTCTTTCTGGATTCCTTTGTAAGATTTAGCAGACTGGTTCTGGACTACACAGGACTGAGGAGAGTCTCTGAAAGTTGTGTGCATAGAACTTAATGTATATGCTCATGTGCATTTATCTGGATAAGAACTCCATCCTTTTGTCAAGTTCTCTAAGGAATTTAGAGCCTCTTAGAAATGCGTAGAGCCTGTGTTGTTTCTCACTTGTCTAAAGGCAGCCCTTATTTTTTATTTGTTTGGCATTGAATTGTAAATGGGGCAGAAGAAGGACATAACCTTCAAAGATGTTCTGAGATCTGTGCTTCTCTTTCATTTGGCCCGCTTAGTCTGTTTTTTAGAAATACTGAGTTTTCTCTAAAGATTACACAGTTATTATTATTATTTTAAAGAGGTCCATTAGTGATCGCTAAATTACACTCGCGTGATACCCGTTTCAGTGAAGTCCAAGACTGCCTTAATTCCAGATACGTAGCCTGCCTTCTTGCCTTTAAGAAAGTGTCTTGTGCTCAGAGACATGACGGATATGCCATCTGATTCTGCGTTCAGGATGGGTCTGCTGGTATACTGTTTATGTCCTGACTGTGTAAGCCATCGTATGATTGGTTGACGTGTTTGTCCTTCCTCACCTCTGTGAATCTCCTCT